TTTATTTCAACTTGGTCTTGAGACTTTTTTTAAATCTGAAAGCTTGTGTTTCAAACTGGTAGTGGGCAGTTTGAAAGAAGTGGGCATTTCAGAGACAATGGCATCTAATGAAAGCTGCATTATGGGAAGTGTAGGATCCAGCATTTATGAAGTTGCCCCAGGACAATAAGTCAGGATATCTCAGCCTCTGCTGCTTAAATCTTTACCATCTTTTAGAATCTGTCTCTTGTGAGTCCCCAAACTTTATGCAAGGTTGTTGGAGTGTACCTTTAAATTGATCAAAGAAGAAAGCAAATATATGTAACAATAGGTATTTGAAATTTGAAATTTTTTCCCCCTACAAACTCTAGGTGCAGAACTTTGAGCGACTGCTGCGAGCCATCTATGCACCTCAAAATATTTATTGTGTCCATGTGGACAAAAAGTCAGAGGCCTCAGTCTTCTCTGCCATCTGGGCCATTACTTCCTGTTTCGAGAACGTCTTCATGGTCAGCCAGGCTGTGGATGTGGTCTATGCTGCCTGGCCACGCGTCCAGGCTGACCTTAACTGTATGGCTGATCTCTACAACACCAGCACAAAGTGGAAATACTTCATCAACCTTTGTGGTCAGGATTTCCCTTTAAAAACCAACTTGGAGATTGTTAGGAAGCTGCGTTCACTGAAGGGCGCTAACAGCTTGGAGTCAGAAAAAATGCCTGAAGGAAAGAAGTGGGAGGGTGTCAAATGTTCACCCAGATAGTTGATGGGAAATAAAGGTACCTCCTGTGGAGATTTTTACATTTTACATTTGTTCAGATTGACCTTAATGACCATCACCATCATAATTAATTGTAATTTTCGTCTGTCCCAGGGGATAGGAAAGGGAAAGGAGCCACCCTCCATTCAACCTGCCCAATTTTGTCAGGAATTGCCTACATTGGTTGTTAATCGAGGCTACATCCGCAGTGTGTTGGAGGACAACCGAGTACTGGCACTGATCGAGTGGGCCAAAGATACCTACAGTCCAGATGAGTTTCTCTGGGCAACCATTCAGCGAATCCCTGGTGTTCCTGGCTCAAGGTGGCCCAACCCCAAATACGACATGACAGACATGAATGCGATTGCACGGCTGGTGAAGTGGCAATGGCATGAGGGGTCACAGGGTTCACTGGAGGCGGTGTACCCGGAGTGTCGAGGCACCCATGTCAGGGCAATATGTGTGTATGGTGCTGGAGACCTGCAGTGGATACTTGAGCAGCATCACCTCTTTGCCAATAAGTTTGACATAGACACAGATCCCATTGCTGTCTACTGCTTGGAGAAATATCTTAGACAAAAAGCACTGGCTGAGTTACTTTAGATCTATTGGAGATTTTTTCTGCTCCAGATTATTAAGATAAAACAATTTTCAATATGTATTTAAAGGTTGCAAGTATAAGATTCTGAAGCATTTTATGAGTGAACCACTTTTTATTGTAAATGGTTGAATAGATTGTAATGTAACTTAAAAAATGAGACCTTCCCCAACTCTTTGGGTTTATATGGGTTTATATGTAGGGATGCTGGTGGGATATTCTTCAAATTAAAAGTTATGTGTACTTTCGGTTAAATGGAAGTCATCACTATATTGATGACACATATATATGATTCCAGTGAATGTACATATTTGAACTGAATAATAAAGAGTTATCATAAATGTGTTGGCTATTACTATTTCAAGATGGATCTGGTTTGTATTCCAGAGCCAGTGTCTGGTGGCGGTCAGCGTTGTGCTGGTTGAGGTTGGTAGAGCAGAGTGGGTGTCCCTCCAAGATCAGATCATGATACTCAACAGGGATGGTAGAGAAATCAGGGGACTCAGAGCTCATTGGAGGGACAGTGACCTCTGCTGGATGCAGTGCAGATCACAGGCAGGAGTGGCAGAATAAACTCCAATTTATTATTTTCCCAGTGAAATCAATGTGAGGATTATGTTGTTTCAACCAAAGATGATCCAGAAACAGTTGGGCTGTCGGCTGGAAGGCAGACCTTTGAGGCACTGCAAGGCAGGCAGACAAAGCTTGCGGCAAGGAAATAATCCTGAGGCACAGGTAAACACAAGGTTAGACAGGATTCAGGAAAAACAGAGCTTAAGCTTGGCCATAGCATTAGAACCACATTTGCAAACAAACAATTGATCAACAAGGAACATAAGAGGAAACAGCTGAAACACTAAGAATGAGGGAGAGGGACAGATGGGACCATGGCACTATCCTGGTTCTGGTACAGATGTAGATAATAATGAAGAAAACATATCGTAGCCTACAGTATTAGCATTTGTGACTGATTTTCTGCATAAATGCTGAAGAAATAACGTGACATTTGATGAAGTTATATGGACTTGAGAAAAATAACCTTCAGGATATGCAAAGATAACAGGATTTAGCATGATGATGATGGTTAAGCAACTTGGCTTTCAGAATAAAAGCATAAAACTGTTCTTAGCAGTGGTACGTTCCTCTTGGCTAAATAAGTGAAAGCGTCAATCCCTGAAAAACAGAAAAACAAAATTTATTTAACAAATTCAAATATATTTATTTCACACATTTTTGTGAGGGCTACTATGTCAGGGCTATTTGCAGGACCAAATTTGAGATACAGTACAGGTTGACACTTTAAATATTAATACACATGGTTGAAATGAGCTCCACCTCTCAAGGGGGTTATTACATTTCTGGATTCAAACATTAGTGGTGATAACATTACACCATAACCAGAGCAGTTATGTCTGGGAGTGCACAAGAATTGGGTATCAACTAAGTATTTAAGTATTTAATTTAATTAATTTTGGCCTAACACTAAATATTAGTTTTAGGAGCAATTGTAATACATTAAATAACTGGGTCTTCTAATCTTTCCACATGTGGTCTGTATTTGTGCTGGAAACATTTCTCATTTATTTTTAGAATGAACAATTATGATTAAACTCATTAAAGATTTGTTTCCAGTGAGACACACCTTTTATGTTGCACTCCAGGCTTTGGTGTATGATAAATGGTTTTACTTTGAAAAATGCTCACAGGAAGACTTTTTTTTCGTGGCCATCTGTGCCTCCCATTTACATCTGAATAGACCAGAACAAGTGCAAACAACAGTCAGCAATTAGGGGAGAAACAGAGAGAGAGAGATGAAGAGAGAAGACTCACCTGATTTGCTGCTTGTAAAGTCACAGGTAGGAAGCTTTAACAAGTCCTGTTGATTTGGTGAACAAGAGATGTAATTACTTTTATTTCAAACAATGTTACTTTAGTGAAAACTCTTCACAGATTTGCCTTGACTTAAAAAAGAGGCTTTTATTTTTAAGTATTCAGCAGTTTTTATATTACATAATCACACTCAAAAATAGAGGTACCAGTTTGTACCTAAATCAGTACAAATGCTTGTCGCAGGGGGGATACCCTTTTGAGAGACAATTGTGTACCTTTCAGTGCTGGTCCATTTATGTACCTTATGAAATTGTACCAGTTTAAGTACAGTTGTGTACCCTGCAAGACATAAAAGTACCTTTAATCTATAAGGTACAGCAATGTACCTCATTGAAAGGGTACTTTCCTGTACTATATAAGGGTACCCCCCCAGTGACAAGCTCTGGACTTTAAGGAGACAAAATTTACCAGAATTGTCTACACAATAATTGCTTCTTTACCATTTATTAACATCTTATATTAACAACATGAAAATATATTTTTTCAGATAAACATGGCAGCATTTATGGTGTAATAAAAATGTTAATTCATTCAATTCAATATAGTTACATATAAAATGAATCAATGTCAATGCATAAAATAACAAGATGTAAAGATTGCAGTCACATTAACATAAGGCAGAATACTTCAAAGTAACAAACATATTTACATAGAACACATTTATACAGAATACCTCAAGGAAACAAACAGTCTATCATCAACTACATATGTGTCGAGAGCTTGATGGTCTAA